GGGCAAATGCAAGGATGAAGCTCAGGTGGAATTGGCATTGACACAAACCCATAATTTTGGGGAGAATCCCCCATTTTTTGCCTTTTTATTCTGCAAAACCCCTGCCCCGTTTGAGCCGCTTTAACYCYRTGAGTGCCAAATCTGCATCAAATGCGCCCCAAAATTTAAATCCAAAATGAGAGTTTTGGAACACCTCAATTTAGGAATGAAACGGATGGAAGTGGCAATGAAACCAACCCAGAATTTTGGGGAGAATYCCCCATTTTCCCACCTTTTATTCTGCAAAACCCCCACCCCGTTTGAGCCGCTTTAACTCCACGAATGCCAAACCCACCCCAAATCCTCCCAAAATTGGGGAAATCTCCCCCAAAGCYGAGCCTCAGCTCCAGGAGGGGTCGTAGCCCGTCCAGTCCGAGGGTGGGGCCAGGAAAACGCGGCGGCCCCGGCACACGAAGCTGACGATGCCGCGGTAGCCGGCGCGGGGGACRCCGGATTTGAGATCGTCCATCAAGCCCAAAGCTTTGGCCAAAGCCTTGAAGGAATCACGGCCCCGATATTGGAGCCTGACAGCCCCCAAATCCCTGCCCGGATCCTTCTGGAGCTCCTCGATTTGCACCTCCGGGGCAGAATAAACCTGCTGCAGGAAGAATCTCTCGTATTCCTCTTTTTTGAGGTAAGAAAGGTCCAGTTGGGTGAAAGGCACGAAGCGGTCGTTGAGTTTGATGAATTTCAGGTATTGGTCGAAGAATTGCCCGTGGCTCACGCCCTTGCGGCCGAAGGTCATCGTCCTGGACACCTCCGGCCGCACGCAGGAGCGGCCCCGCCGCTGCTCCGGCTGCCTCATCCAATCATCCCAAAAAGCCGGCGGCCATTTGGGCTCCAACTCGTCCCAAAGTTCCGCCAAAAGGAGCCACCCCAAACCTGGAAAAAAATCCGTGCGGTACAAAAGCTCAGCCCGAGCCGAGTCCACCATGGCCTCCTTGCCGTTATCGTTCCAGGCCGAGATGCACCACAGGCTGGGATCCCGCTGCAACAACGGGAAAACCGCCTGGAAATACTCGAAAAAATCCGGAGCCACCTCCAGATCGTCCTCCACCACGATGGCGGCGCGGTAACGGAACGTACGGAACACCTGACCCAGCGCCCAGCGGTAATGCCGGGAGATTTTATAATAGCCCTGGAATTTGCGGTGCTCCGGAGGCACGGGAATGTCGCTGAGGTCCGGCTGGCGGATGTGAACCACGGTTTGACCGTACGAGGCGATGACCTTCGCCGTCTCGGCGTGRCCGCAGTCCTGTGACACGATGACCGGGAAGCGCCGGGCGCTGGGGCGGTAACGCAGGATTTTATCCAGACACCGCCGGACCGAGCTGCGATCACACGCCAGAACCAGCACCGGGATCACCGGGAACTCCGCCTCGGTCGGCGCCGGCGTTGGGGGCGGTTTGGGCGTTTTTTGGTGCTGCTGGAGACGGCTGAATTTTTGGATTTGGAGGAGCAAATCGCGCTGGAGGCGCAGCTCGGTTTCGGCGTCCTGGGCCAGGCGCAGCAGCTGGGCCGGGAGGAGCCGGGAATTCTCGGGATTTTGGGGATTTTGGGAATTTGGGAAGGTCCCGGGGCGGCTCCAGAGGAAGAGGAGGAGGAGGCCGTTCCAGGCCAGGAAGAGCGCGGCTCCCCACAGAGCCCAGCTGGTCTTCTTCAGCATCCTTCACATGGGGCTGTGAAAGGGAATTTCGGGATTAGGGACACCGTTTGGAAATTAAAAACGCAGAAAAGGTAAAGTTCATCAGCTAAAAATATAGAAAAGGCATGGTTTGTAAATTAAAAACACGGAAAAGGCACGGTTTGGAAATTAAAAATGTGAGAAAGGTAAAGTTCATCAATTAAAAACATGGAAAACACACGGTTTGGAAATTAAAAACATGGAAAAGGCAAAGTTCATCAAT